CAATTGCGCTATATGGTGAAGCACTAGTCAGCCTTAACCGATGGTAGCGATCTATTCAGCACGATGACGAAGAAAACGTTTAGGGGTTGGAATCAATTATTTAAAGACGGAATTTATTTGACATCGCTTAATTTCTGTGTATTACACTGGCATCATTGACGTTCAGCGGGTACTAGTTTGATTGCTCTAATGGAGCCCAATGAAATTGCTGATAGGTTTTAGGTTGAAGATTAGTTATGTACACCTTTTTGTCTTTTCATATATTTATTTTGGGTACGTATGCGTCATTTTTATAAGTGTTTTTTTAGGTTCATTCACACTGATTATTCCAATGCCTGTTTAATTTTGACTTAGTGTTCAAAACCTCAAAAAAAATATAATTTATATCTGAAAAACTTGTGTGTATAATGCTTATTGGTATCACAGATATTATAAATGAGTCTATACAAGATGAAGGACTTTTTATTATCTAAGATCGAAGAAAAATCAGACCAAAAATACCATACATCCTTAATGGCAACGCTAGCTAGACTCGAAAATCAATATTGTTGTTTTTGTACTAAATGGGAGACACAATTTATGCCCTCATATTTTGTTTTTGCCTTACAAACCGTTTCGAATTAAATGCTATAGTTAAGTACAATAGGAAATAATGGAATACTGACTTTTTTTGAGTACATTTATGGGTCTAGTGCGAACCGTTAGCCCAAGCCCTGTAGGTCAGTCGTTGCGTATTTAACTGAAAAATGAATGTGCCGCATAGGTTCTATAGATGCACGAAAAGCTTCTATAAAGCTGGCTACACGAACTTATTACCGGTCCAACGAAGCTGGTACTTTGAAGTAAAGGACATCAATTTATTGGTAGATATTATTCACGATTCGTTGAAGTGTTCAATAGATCAACCCCGCAAGTATGTTCTCCATCACATGTAATATCCATTTATATTTACTTGTTGGATGAGCTGCTATTAGCGAATATTAAATTCCTTTTAGAAAACAGGATAGTAATAGAAGTCGCATTAATTGAGAAGTCCAAAATGAAGTTCTATACAAAAAAATGGGGAGCTACTCTAAAAGAACTTCATCAGAATGTAAAGTCAAAGATACAATCTGACAATTAGGGAAGACCTGGAGAAATAAAGTCGTTTAGAGAATAAGAAGTAGACATGTTGAACTGTTGGTCTTACTACTAGGCCACGATATCCATACCACATGCATAAACAGGAAAATGTCATCATCGGGCCATATTGAAGACTGCTCCAATCTAATTTTGGCTTAATAGGGGAGTATGTTTTGAAACTAAGAATATTCAGTGTGTTTTTTTTTCTGTTTAATATGTTATGAAAAATTTGGCTGCAATGTTTTTTTAATTCAACAATACGATCCACAAATTGTGGGGGGAGGGGTATGCGGGAGAGCTTCCCACTCAGCTCGGAGGTTTCAAAAGCCCACAGATATAATTTTCTCAAAACCCTAAACCTATATCTTGCCTTATTCGTTAGAAGACATCCCGATCGAGAAGAGGCTCAAACTATATTCTGCGCTATCTTTAAGGACGCATGGCAGGCATATTTGATGCTAGAAATGCATAATTTTTCCACTATATTAACATTACAACTATACAGGCTTAGATCGCTATTTGACGAGGTTTTGAAAATAGATTTCCATTTTTTCGCCGTCTACGATGCCGAGTAGGCCTTGATGGAATTGAGATGCAGCTCTCAGCTCTGAACATATATGCCCCAAAGCTTACATGGGTTGCCGTCGAATATGGGCGAGATATCGCTCTTTTTATGATAAAACTACCTCCAGCGACTAAAATCAGAAGACTTTCGCGTCTCGGCTATGAGCAAATTACATAGTTAAAAAAATCATCCCTCAGTCCTATTTTAGGTCGAATCGTTTAGTACTTTCCATCATGGGATGAGAAACTGACGGCTTGACCGTTACAGCACACAGAGACTGGCGAAGTTCTAATTCCTGTGGCACCAGCTAGCTACAGAAGATAATTAAAAAAGACACGTTTCGGCCAACCACTTCATCTTTATTGCTACAATGAAGGAAACCGCACAAAAATGTCCGCGGTATCCTTCATATACCTATACGATCCCAGTATAGAATCTGGCATATTGGCATAAGTGAAACTCTGTCTATAATGTACACAATTGTATGTCTATAATGTAACCCAATTGGAACTGCGCAGTTCGAATATCAGAATATACGTGTTAGTGGTACACCTAATAGGATAACCAAATCACGTTCAGGTACGTTAAGAGATTCGGCGAAGTACGCCGTATCTTCTACAGCTGTATTCCCGATCTTCCCCACAATTGACTAGGCAAGCTAGGCTTTTACTTGCTATATCTACGCGTAAAAGAATGGCAATCAAATGTACACGATTCTGTTAGTCTAGCCATCTGCCTAGGCAACTTCCTGAAACAAGGAATACAGAGTGAATTTTTCATCTTCTGCTATGATATAACCATTCGTAAAAGTCGTCCACAATCTGAAATTAGAAAGAGTTCTGAGTTAGTCGTACTGCTATAATGGAAAACAGTGAACGTTGGAACAAGGCTTTTAAACCTGAAAATATGGTACTTGCCGAAGACGTTTCCAGCTTCATAACACGTGCACTGCAAACACGGTCCGTTACAAAATAGGTGCCGTATTGTGTGAGGTTCAATATAATCGAAATACAAGGTCTAGCCATCCAGATCCGATAGAATCCATAGCGAAAACATTTCCGATCCGTCATCCGAATCCTCCAGTGACAGTTCGACTGACTGGTTGTGAGTTCGGGTAAATAAAACCAATCAAGATTCAAGCTAGCCAGGTCTTAAAGTCTTTACTTGTTTGTTGACCGTTTGATGTAGATTTGTCAGAGTCACCGACGTCTACTTTACCAGAGTTACAGAGGACAGGTAAAGTTACAATAGCTAAAATACTGTTGACAGATAACAAAGCAAACTCACAAAGGAAGGTGTTCTAACAACATTTTTATGTATCGATATACTAAGGATATAACAAGATTTATTTAAAATGACTATCGTGAGCGGCAACGCGCCATTGTACTACAGGTAGATCGGTGTAAATACTTTACCTGTTGTTAAAAAAAGGGTCCCGTTTACCGCTGGTACGAAGAATTGAACCTTTTACTAAACGTTAGCAATATAACTTCTCTCTCATTGCCTTTTTACGCGATCTTCTGCAGCTGGGGCCATTTGTTTTCCGTCGTTGCCTTTCAGACATCTACCTTTACCCTGCACATTGGACTGCCAGCTAGTTCACTCAGACAGGAATAACTATTTTGCTATATGTGCTTGTTTCCGGTAATGTCAGGCACATCTAGGTGATACAAGGATTTTTTGATCTGGCTTATTTTGCTCGGTCATAGGCTTCAAACCGCGCTGCCTCTCAATGCCACTGGCTCACACTGGTAGTAATCGCGTATCCGTCTTGATCGCGCTGATGCTGAAAACTACACAGTCTGCCTCGATGAGACGGTGTAGCAGCTCGACGAGATATTTCGATACTATTTTTCTTTGTAATAATAATCCCAGTCATAGGTCGATCTGTGTAGCTATTCGCGCAGTTAGCTCCAACCAGTTAATCAAGGGCACTGCAGCGTCTATGTATTGTTGCTTGCGCTATCTCAAGTTGTTTGAGCTGCGCTTGACATCAGCAAACTTAAACCGACTTCAACAAGCATCGGTCGGAGCATGAGTTGTTATCAATAGTAACAATCCGTCTCAAGCCGGTGCTTCAGTGGCACAGTGAAGTCGGTTCCGCGTGCACGAATACCACGGCAAATGAAAGTAAGGGGCAAAGCCTCATGGGCCTTTGGGGGGCGGCCGAGGAACGAGCCACCTTAACGGCTGGAACCGCTTTCGCCGTCACCGTTAATGATGTCCCTACTGTTGACGCTGCACAGTCATTGTATGGGCTACAAACTTTGTTGGCGTCCCCAAATTTTGCCTTGTTCGACTCAGGAATAGGACACAGAACTCGGAACATAGAGGCCCCTAGGAGCGCAGTGCCGCTTATCTTACTGGCTGGCTCCACCTGTTCACTCTGTTGGACGCTGCGATCACCGCTGCTATCGCTGACACCGCCGACTTGGCCATCCTATCCGCCGCTGTTGGCAGTACTATTGCAGTTTTCTGTACCCGGCATTTTTAGTACTGCTAATATTGTTAATCCTTCTGTTGCTGCTGCTTTTTTGATGTTTACTTGGTTTCTGTTGACTCTTGCTGGCCAGCTTGCTGTGCTAGACTTTCTGAACAGGCAAACCACGTTAGCAGTTGCGAGTCTCCCTCCTCACCGGCGCCTTCTCCACAGCGGTGGCTGTTCACCGCGATGACAAGGCGTTTCCCGTCATTAGAAAACGTTACCACCAGATAGAAACAATAATAGACCACTGTCGGTGCCGCTACGAACAGACAGAGCATTGCTTGCTGTCATACGTTTGCGCTATTAGGAACAACGAGCGCAGAAGCATCAAAGTTCTTTGCAGATCTAGAGAACTGTAGCGGGAACGACTTCTCGAGTCAAGAGTCACCGAACAATAAACTAGGCCCAGAGTTCCTGCCGGGGAAGTTCAATTGCAATTTAAGGATTGTTGCTAAAACGTGATGGATTCTTTTGTATCGTTCGACTGGTCCAGTAGTTTGGTTACATTAAATCAAAGTAAGCTTCTATCCTCGTACTTGGTATTTGAAAGGAAATAGACGACTCTTCTAAAATAAAAGAAGACAGCGACGATTTCAACTGTTCTTAAGCAGGGATTCGATTCGAAGTTCACAGCCGCTGGCTTCGTTGGGTCATTGCCTCCCTTGTGAAGCCTTTGCATAATTAAGCGCTTATAACAAGTGGGATTATCCCTGTGCTGAAATGCTGCGTCTGTAACCTGGATTTTATAGTGAAGGGTACATCTTCATCGGTGCAAAATTAGAGACAGCATCTTGATTCAGTGGAATTCGATTGGTTAAGACTATTTAGCGTATAATAATCACGCGAAAAAATCATAAAAATCCGTCGCTACTGAACTCGGACCGAACCACCGTACCCGTATGTGGATTGCTGCGGTTCATTCCCATCGGATTAGTAAGTTTTTTTCGTGAAGTTGCACGTTCGCGCACTTTTACGCAGTGGACTCACATTTTCCGGCCGTGTGCTGAAATTATCTGTGCTACCGACTGCTCCATTCGAACAAGCCCTTGGACCAGGTGAGTGTTCAGAAATTTCACTGTGTTACGATGTACGCACGCTCACGATAAAGATGAATAGTAAATAATATAACCCAAGGCAAATATACAATAAAAACAAAGTACAATTGTATCTTATCCTTAGTAGTATTGCTATGGGCCACTAGAATGGCTGAATTAAGTAGAAGTGTCGTAAAGCTGTACAAAGATTGTGTAAAAATATATATGTTGCTAAATAATAGTATATTTGTTGTTGGATAGGTTAGGTTTCGATTTTCTAGCATTTCATGGAGGACGTTGCTGATTGATTTTTATTTCGATTCGATGGTTCTGTTGGTGTGCAAAGATCGGCTGCCGTTCGGATATTATATGACAACTCTTGTATGAAATCATAGTTGGTGTTTGAAATTTATCCCGTACAGTGTAGCTCATTTGGATACTTTAAAACCCATTATAATTATGGAGAGAAAAACTGGGACTACCCCAAACGCACTGCTGAACTGTCACAAGGTCTCCTAGGGGCAACTAGTCAATGCGCGGGTCACGTAAGATCAGATAAGTCGTTTAAGGCTCAGGCGAAAAGGCAGACTTCATTTGTCACACTACAGGGTGTGTAGTGTTTGCAGATTGTGTTTCGAGTCGAAAGTGAAATCTCGGCTAAGTGAAAGAGCTCTATTAGTGAAGACGAAGGAAGTTTATTGAACGTCTATTTCGTTAAGCGGAAGTATTCCGAAACTGGGCCTACGAAACAAAAGACCAGCCCAAACGACCTTCAAAAGTCTGCCGTGCCTTAAACGATTGATGAACGTAACTTTCTGCAAAACGGATAAACGCATCGCTATTTTGCGCTTATGAGTATTTGGCAGCTCTTATCCTTGATCCTATAAAAAAGTGCTCCACAATAACGGTGACATAGAATGATGTTCGTGTATTAATGTTTTTAATTTGCAAACGAAAATTCTGCTATACGTGGGCAATCGATTTACTGAGAGCCTAAAACATGCGGTATACGTAAAATACAAGTTTTTGCATAAGTCTAACTGAAGCGCTTGTTAAGCCACACTTCTGGCGAGTAATATTTTGTCGTGTCTGAAAAAATGGCGTCCGCTGACCCTTTGGTACACGGCGTCAAAGACTAGCGTCTCGAATCTTCGAGACACGATTCCAGTTGCCGATCAAGTGAGACCGTTGAAACCGGTTTTCATGATATAGACGGGTACTTTTCCAGTTTACCAACAGCATGCCACGAAACCTGGATGACAAGCACCGATGCCTTATGCCAATATTTTTTTAATTAATTCAAATTGACATTTTTGTATGTATTTAAATTACGTTATGAGTTTTCTTCATTTGCCCGAACCACACGCACTTCGGCCATTAAATCACCTTAATACGCTTAGAGAAGATCGACTTCGAGCCCTGTGAGTTAGATGCTATTAGCTACTCTGAAAGCATCGGCGACACAACTTGAGTTGCTAACAAATAACAAACAGGTTTTTTCGTACCGCACAGAACTATGCGAGTACAGAAGACCAGTTTCTTTATCGTAGGATGTTTATGATAGTCGGATGACGAGTATATATTTTGCTATCGTTCAATGAATTAGAATCGCCTTGGCCAACGAAAAGTTGACGAACGTACATTTGAATGCTAAATTTCGTTACGCTGAAAAATCGATCCCGGCATAGATAGCTGCCAGTATATCAATGTTCTAAGCTCGAACAAACTGTTCCGGCGGATAGCTACTTGCAGAAACTATTCGAGAAGCTATCGGCAGCTATAGACGCCTTCATTTCATTCAATGGCCACATGACAACACACATGTGACAACAATGCTTTTACACTGAGAAAGCAGAGATCTTTGATGAGGCTTACACAAAACTCACACATTCTAAGGAACTCCCAAGCTCAGCAAGGGAGATGTGCACTTTTGGCAAACGGCACTTCTTCCGAGGAGCTCGCCGGACAAGGGAAGCTCAATTGACTAAGCCAAAAAACGCGCAAGGAAAAACAGTCAGGCGTAACTGTTGATGGAGGGGCTGAAGCAGAACGAAGCTTCCCGAGAAACCTGCGCGGTGCAAGCAGCCTATTATTGGCTTTCTGCCCCACAGAGCTTTTCATAACGATCAATAATATTAATATACATATTTTCTTAATTACCATTAGCCATAACAGAGAAAATTATTAGACCTAATAAAGAAAATCTCTTTTTATGGCTCATGCGACCTTTGCTACAGAGGAGCGCAATCGAAACAAGCGCACTTTTAATTGTCTTGAGTTTAGGTGAGTCACAAGGTGGCAGTAGGATGTTATAATAATAAAAGTTCCAGGATCGTCGTGTCCTGTGGCAAAGATCGATTAACGAGACCTTTTTTGTTTAGTCGGAGTCATTGTCATTTAGGTAAGAATACCGATAATCGGCTGTAGCTTTAGCTGACATGCGTATATGACTGTATATATTGTCGCATGACTGTGTAGTCAAATATATTGGGTAAGATAGATCCGGCCGGCCCTACATTAACCGAACTAGTTCCTGTTGTGTCCTGACTTCACTGTCAACGTTTTTTTTTCTTTTCATCTGCATAATATTCTGCATGGCCGAATGCGAATTATGATCACAGTGTTTATTGAGTTCCACCAATGTGTTCCTATGGTCTAGAACATAATAAGTGCAGCGCGACGTTTTGCCCTATCGATATAAGTAGCGTAACGACGTTCATCTTTTGCCCGCTAAATACAAACGTTATTGTCCGTGCCAATCCACTAGTACTAGTCAAGATTTTGAAACCTGCTGTCAGTTCTGCTGCTACACGTGGGCCGTATTGCCACAACAATAAAAAATGGCTTTTTTTAACTTTATTTATGTTTTGGTCGCCTTCGATTGTTGTCGATCGTTGCGACTGAATAGCTTCAAGGGGCTTCTGGAAATCTTCAGAGGCCTTCGACAATGACTGGCACTACGTATGCTGTCGATTTCTAGGGTGTAGAGGTACATAGAATCGTATGCGTCCCTAGGACGATGAAACGCACACGCCAAAAGCTGTAGGACACATGTGGGTGAGCATAGCTTCACAGAGAGGCGCACCTCGTCCTCTGCATGGGAGAAATTATACCTATAAATATATTTTTTACATGACAGCCCTCGATGGGAAATTGTGCGGAGTGGGCAATTCTTGGTTGATTTAGAGTCATAAGCAATCTATCAGCTAAGTAGTTTGTGCGGCTGCAGAAAATTGTTCTAGAAAGTTGAGTTGCTATGACGCAGGTACAAATTGTATTGACGAGCGTAAGAGCCCATTTTCTTACGAGTTTAATCGGCAGGCGCCAATTGATTCAGCTTGATCTAGCATTTGTATTTTAATTTTAGTGTGCGTAATCATGCAATATTATCATGTCCGATTACCAGACACTCGTCTAGAAACAAGAATAACAAGTAAGAAACATAATAGGAAAAACAGTTTCTTACGGTAAATTTATTACTACTTAAGGGCAAATTGTATTCTTTTTGACAGGCATATGACCCGAGTTCGATGATTGTTTTTCTGCAGTCCATCAATGTGCTTATTATGCCCAATAAATAAGCACATCTTTTAGAAATAGCGCAACTAATAATGAAGAAGCTGACCAATCTTGTTTCCAAAGTTTCTACACAAACCGGAAAAAGGTGTTCTATGTTTGCCTTGTAAAACAGCCTTGGTGTTTTTCTAAACGTTATCTACGTATAATAAAAATAGTTGAGGTCAACGGCACTGCTGATTTTTTTTACTATAAACATGTCCTCAGCTAGATCTTTCGAGTCATATAGGAAAACAGCTAAACGTATTTTGTCCATCTAAAAAACAATAACTAGTATTACCACTGTGTTATGTGGCAGCTAGAATTTTTACAATGAGTCTTATTCGAAGTGGCCTGAAGCCGCCTTTCTCTTTGATTTATACCTCGAATAAACTGCTATTGCTGGTATCGATGCTGGTCTATTAACAGTATGAGAACATACAGAGATCTCACTCAAACATGAGCCCGTCTTTGCCGATATTTGCTATTGGGATCCCAGTCGAATTGTTGGATATAAAAAAAAACAGCAGCAAAGATAAACGGCTGTAGTTAAACTTCCATCATCAATTATCACATAGCTTTGTTGTATCGTCTGTCAATGGAGCTTTTGCCGAATATATCTGTGTCTCTCGCTTACTCGTTAAGATTTGTGCGATTACTAGTTTGCACGTACTCTAATGAACCTAACAAAGTTCAACCCGGTTTAGGTCGTCACTGAGGTAGCGTAGTTTCAACTCCTTTAATACATCGTACTTGCAACATCATTCATTTGCTGTTTGTCGTGTTGCGTCTCAGTGACTTTAGTTTATCAAATACGTGTTATTTACTGATACATGTGTTTTTACAAGTACAGACGGAACCACCTCTAACCGTTAGGGTTGAGCGCCACACTCAGTCAACAGAAAATAAACCTTATTCTGGAAGTATCTTGTCGTACGTAAATTATATTACCCAAGCAATCATTTTAAATTAAACAAAAAAGACAAAAGAAAAATGTTAACTGCCGAACGTAGGGCGTTAATGGAGAGCATGTTCTAATCTTATTCTTAGCATTATCATTGGCAAAGTGAAGGCAGTTTTAAACGTTTAGATGACGCTGTCATGATATGTAAAAATAGTCCAAAGGATGTGAAAGATCCGAGCTGTAGTATGTTTTAATACAGTTGAAATCAGTAAAAACAAGCCGTTTCTACAACATGTAGCCAGAAAAAGTAAGTACCGGGTTTCAAATCCCGGGTTATCGCATGATAACCAGAGATTTTAAAATCCCGAGCAATGATCTGCTATTTTATAGATATATGGGGTGTTATTACACATAACGCTAACATATATGTGGTAGTTAGTAAGCAGTGACATTGTATTTAGTATAGGTAATTAACTTGCTAACCTCACTAAAACCGAACCTCAAAAATGTACATGAGACAAAACGATAATTCCATTCGCAAAAATGACTATGAAGACATAACCAAAGAAATACCAGATACTGAATCAGGCGATCTATTGATTATGTTATTTTGTATGAACCGCCACTTCATTCGTGGTTAGCACTTAAGCGTGTACATAAATAATACCTAACCTATTTGAGAACGAACATCTTTTTGACAGAAAACATGTACAGCGCACAATATATAAAAATACAATGCATGTATGTCACCCACACATGAGTGAAGAATGACAACAATGAAATGATTGCATAACGAGATGCCCCAGTGGCGCCAGAATCTTCGATTAAAAGTCGAGGTGTTTTTAATGGGGACGAAGTTTCGCGGACATCGCCCGTTCACAGGCAGCACAGGATATTCAAGGAATTTCCTATGAAAACAAACACGAGAAAGAATGGAAAACCGTCTCTAAATGGCCACCCCTCGAGTCGCGCTCAGATTGATTACCTCCACATTTCTGTTACGCATCCGCTCGTTAAATGGATTGAAGAGCGTTAGGCAGATCAGGATTGATATGGGCTTAGATGTAAACCAGAGGATTTTTTTACGTCGTGCCAAATTAAAATACAGAAGAGGTTCGTCATGCCTCTATGAATTCTTTTCGCCGGGTACCGGGCGTTAACGTCGTCTAAACGCTACGAACCATAATTATAGTCTTGTCAAGTGGGCCTGCATAAATACGACACAGAGAATTGACTAATACAATATTATTGTATATAATATGTTTTTAAGTGTTTAAGGTGAACTTACCCACAGTTAGCTCCTTGTATGGTAAAATTGACAAATGTCAGACGAGGCGCTAGATTAAAAGCAAATGATGAAATAGGGCTGTGATAAGACGCTATGTCGAATTAAGCTCAACGTCGTGAGCAAAATCTAAGTAGCAATACGTTATCTGTTCTTGATCCGAAATGATATGGCTTTCGAAGTAAGCGTTGTTACCAAAGGATAAAGTGAAGCCATTTGAAAGGGGGACATGCTATGTAAATGTTTTTATTGAATTACGTTCTGTTTATCGGACATGGGACGAAAACGATTTAGATCTTGTAAAGCGACAAATATTCGACGAGATCATAAGGATCATTGGTTTCAGCAAACTCTAATGCACGATTGTAACAACTTAACTGCAATGTCAGACTAATTTTTTCCAGAAAAAACAGAATTACTGCGTACAGGTAGGTCGTGAGGCATTCATAGTAAGTTAGCCACTGCGAAGTTTAAATGTTCACGAGTAGCACTCCGTCTAGGCGCGTTTGGCTCAAATCCAAAAGCATTTCCTCAAGGCAAGAAATTCAGTTCTAAATTATACTGTTGCCAAACCTGCGGCACCATCACTTTTCGTTTTCACAGCGAATAAACAATATTATTGAAACATAATTTTCACGAATACAAAAAACAGCTTCTACAGCCACCCAGAAGATTTTGGCCGCACTGAGGCATAACGTTATGTTTAGAATTTCCTCATGATGTAGATTCAAAGATTGATCCAAACGACAACAGTCTTCTGGTGTCAGTAAATTTTGAAATCCAGTGACGATTTAGCGACTTTCGAATAGACGAAATACTATGGTGAGCTTATCGAAATTTTCTAGAGATAGGTGTCCAGAACTGACGGATGTATCGTTTGTCGAAGTCGATGTGGAATTCAGAAAAGTAAAAAAACGATGCGGAATTGAAGTGCCTATTTTAGTAGTTAGCATATCGGTTATAATGAGAAACACGACAAAGCCAAGGTCGAAGCCTCCCAGATCTAAGTTTCGCACACTTTGACGAGACACATGAAACATGAAGCTGGCTTTTTTTTTTGTCCTGAGCTTCTGCTTGAATCGAGACATACAAAAGTTACCAGTTCACTTTATAGCAAACGCTGCTTCGCTTCTTAGCATATTCAGCAAGACTACTTCAACTACTACTAGATTGTAAACGCAGCGAAAAAAAAGAGGGCGGCATCTATGGTGACAAAAAATGTATTCATTATCTGGGAAAGAACGAAGAAAAACACCTTCAAAGGCAAATATCATACTATAATTATGCGGGCAACATTTATCGACAGCGTCCAACCAACTGTAGTTTTGGCACCACCCTTAACTTTTTTTTTATCGACATATGTATCACTAAGCAGGACCAGTTATGGGTCAATCGTAGAGCGCAAGGCTGACGAACTGCTCTTGTTTGATCATTGTCTATCCCAATTACCCCAATCCGTCGGGAAAATTCTTGACACTTTGCAACTTAGATTGAATTAGGCACTAGAAACAACAAATTACTGAATTAGCATTAATCGAGTATAAATTAAATATATCTATGCTTATTGATATAATGACGTAAACATACGCAGGACCCATTAACGCTTTACAAGGGTGCAATGCGAGGTACCCCAACGATCTAAGATTCTTCTTTTTGCCTTCACAAGTTCTAAGCTTTAATATATCAGTTGTGAAGACTGCGAAAGCAAGACATTTAACGGTATTCAAAGATGGCTCAGTGGTCCCTCGATGCTGCTCACGTTAGTGTACGTAAAACGCTTAGGTCTACTGAGCTCATATAATAATAGGCCTGACAAATATCAAGGCATACCTGTGAATACAAAAAAACATAATTAACAAGCACATTTGTTGTACCCGTTAGTGCATTCGTTAAAACATAATCCTATTTATTTACTGTTGTTTTACTCAACGTTTAAAACCGTTCCCCTAAATAATATCTATTACGCGAAAGGGTTGATGTCAAAAATTCTTTCGATTGAGCCAATGATACATTGCACCTCGCAATCGATTCGAGTTGGTCAACAGGCATAGGCATCGTGTGTCGGCAGGAGGGATGGTGGACCTAAGAGCTTAGGACAAAAGCAAAGAACGGTTCACTGGACCAGTTGAATAATCTGTTTTTATACCTGCTTTCCATCAATATCTATGTGAACGCACGCTAACTGCCTATCGCACAGATAAGCTATAATAGCTTAAGCTTAAATTCAGCTGCGGCCACGATGTGGGCCTTAAGTAAGAAAATCTATTAAGTAAAAAGGTGATAAACACTGTTTCTGTTCGATATTTTCATTGATACGGAGTCAATTTCCTAAGAGGTCTTGGAAATAAATTCAGCCGGCATCAACTTTATGATATTTTTCTAGTCCCTGTCGTGGTGGCACGGATCATTTCATAGATGATTACTACTTCCTCTCGACACGTGTAACAAATAGGCTGTGTATAAGGTGAAAAATTTGGTTAACAAAAAATTATACTTAGGTGTGAATAGGCCACGTCGATTTTAGATCATTGCAGTTATCAATAGAGAGGGACGCTACTATGTGTCCACATTAGCAGTTAGCATGGCTGTGGATCAATTTCGAAAGTTGTCCATAGCATGGCGAAGCGATAAATATCTTCGCTGATTTAGCGTGGACTCATACTCCTATTTCAATGATAACTAGTAAACCGGTAGCCAGATTCAATGCAGATATTCGCCGATGTGTGCGACTCGCGAACCTCGATTGTTGAGTCTATGCAGTCGGCCTGATGTCACACATGTGTGTACCGTGGAAAAGTTGTAACAATAGGTTCTCAGTCTTGATCATTTATGATATACCGGAGGACGACCTCGTATATATTTCGAATCGCTGGAAGGAATCACCTTCTGAAACGGTTAGATAATATTAGGTTGTTGGAAAACTATGAATTTTTTTGAATATTTCAAAGTACTACTATTCAACTAATCATACACCACTTTGATTAACGACATTCTGTAATCTATTCGTGAAAAGTATCACTCTAGAGCAAATGTCATTTCTGTGCAAACAATTGTAGCAAATGGTTTTCTTTCCGTTCATCGAGGTGAAATTTAGGGAGCTCTGCAAAGACCAAAACAGGTGATCGTTGGAAGATGGTGGATCCGGGCAATTGGACGGATGGTTAAGCGTATTATGTATCAAACTTTTCCGTTTGAATTCCCTCAACTTTTTTTTTCCAAGTAGCTGAAGGTGTATGCGGTCTGCCATTGCCTCTTTGTTTCAATGGGTCGCTATAATCTTTATATGACTTGTTGATAGCAGAAGTCCGAATTGACCATTTGGACAGGCGGCAATAGCTACTGATGCCCGATCCCTTCCAACCTCGCCAACCTTTTTTGGCGTCACTGTGAATTTTGCCACAGATAGGTCTGTGGAGCACATTATTTTATTTCCACATCATTGTTGTATGTGATCCGTTTTTTATTACTCGGGATCAACCGGTTTTGGGAACTGCTTGGTTGTAAAGCTTCATAGATGGAAATACGGCCGACTAAATTTTTCTAATTCGTGTGACGTCAAAACATGCCAGCTTTTTTTTTAAAGAAAAAGTATTACTAAATATCCACCATCGTCTGTCACTTGACGATATGGTGACTACTGAGGTGTCGGCCGGACTCAATATTCCTCATCAATTCTTTCCGTAATTGCTCGGCTACCACGAGGGGCATCTTTGGCATGTATATTTTCAGAAGCAAAGCGGCAGAACTGCCTTTCGGGTCTGTCATTCAATAGCGTATCTTGACCATAGATAGTACGAGTTTTTTTACGGGTAGCATTTATGCCTCTGCCGTGATAGAATTTTGATTTTTGTTACAACGAATTTTCGCAGAGAATTCACGCATTTTGTAGCCGTCCGTTTATCTCAGTAAAAGCATTGCATGCATTTATCTCTGGTCAATTGGCTTTCAAATGATACCAACTTTAACTCGACACGACCCGTATCACCCGACACATGTGACTTTAAAAAGATCTAGCCAATAGAAGGGTCAATATTTTTTCGTCAAGTTGACAAATAACAGAAGTTTGTCTAATGCATATAACTTATATACAGCTGTTCGTGTTGGTACACAGGTGTGATGAAGGTTCTATGGAATACCTAATTATATGTCTCGCCCACTGCATCGCTTGGATCAGCTCATATATTGACGTGAGTATAAAATCAGACCAACACAACCTGACCGTAGCTAGCTTCGGTATAAGGAAAAAACATAATTACTTGTATTCCTTGCCAAGAAATTTCCCTCGACAAAACGTCCATGGAACTGTAGGTTAGATGTTACCAGCTAATCCGAAATATTTATGCTACATACAGAGCAGTTTTGTCCTTTCTGATTCTGATCAAGGCTGTCGTTTGCTTTCGACATGTCTGGTCCGGCACAGCAGTGTAGTTCTGCTTCTCGGAATGAACGTGCTTTGACAACAGGCTACTAACTGGAAGCTGATGCGTGTGTGAAGAAGGGAACTAGATTTTGTATGCACGGTATTTCCGAATGGACGAGCCCACAAGCCTGGGCATCCTTGTCGCCGACGGCTATCACTGATTATTATCACAATATTGATGGCTCCTTTCAGTAGCCTGTAGTAACAGGGAAAACATATACCAGTGGTTCTCGTTTCATAGCACCGAATCAGCGAAGCCCCCACGTAATCACAGACTTCGATTTATCTGGACCAGAATTTTGATTGCTGTCATTGTTGTTGTTGTTGTTAAGCAAAAAACAACTTCATCGTCCAAGACGACAGTTCATACATCGACGATGGCCGAATCGTTCAACGTAATTTCATATATTGATTGTAATCGGCTGGGCAGAAGCCAAAAGAAATATTTCGAACGTTATATGACAAAGGTTTTCTGCAAACAACAGAACTCGCTTCAGCTTCGAGCAACACCAATGCCATTTTTACTCAGATAATAGCAAAATTACTATCTTATCGTGTACAAACTGTCGATTACGACAGGCTCGCTTGTTGTAGCTGTTGCAATAGTTTTATCCCGTATTCCATTAAAAACTCACGCCATGCACTTTGACCCACGGACAACCGACGCACGGAATTAAAGGCCCACATATATGCTATCTTCTAACATTGACGTTCGGCGGCAAAGGAGTGCGGTTCTGATGGGTAAGCTACACAAAAATAATTACGAAAATAGGTCCGTCGATGTTAATGGGTCAACTATTTCGAAATTAGTGAATAATTAAATCAGTGTCTACTCTAGAAAGGCGACAATATACGAGATGGCGCATTTTATATACAGCGAATTATCTAAGTTTATCTTTAGCTTTGTTTTTGTTTATACATGATAACAAATCAAACAATCTTACCACACAATATACGCACCCACAGAGCTCATACAAAGTTTAGAAGTAGCAACGATATATTAAGCTCGCTCCCCTAATTTACTACATGTGGTTTAATCTGTAAAACGGCCTCGTTAAAAACCAAATGTTCTTAGCTTATGGCATCGTTGATTTTTTCAACTAACGCAAGCGTCTTAATCTTGAATTTTCATGCTTTCGGAGTAAAATCCATTTTAATAAATGTAAACCTATAGGATTAAAAAAAATGCATATCTATACCCAGTATGGTAGCAGCCATTATAACAGAAGAATTGTTGTTACTGGATATCGACTCTGCCTTCCTATAAAACATATATTAAATAATTGTGAATTCAGAAAGTTTAAACGTTAATATTATTGTACAAGGTAAAAGAAAAGCAGATTTCAGATTTTTTGTTGACACGGATACTGTTTCCACCGTAAACTAGCTTTTTCTCGGCTGTAGGTTTCACAATTTTTCCATCCTTGTTTCCAGCAGAAGCTTATTTCTTTCCCATGCTCTATATTAAATTGGAACAGGATAACATTTGCAGAAGTAAACATATGCAGAGTAAACACAGTATAATTTCACACTTGCCATTTCTCTCACTAAAGTTCTGTTCATCTACAAATCTGTTCGTAAGTTTAAAAAGAACTTCATTCGATTATCTACACCATGCTTGGTGTGGCCGCAGACTCAACGTCCGTTGAAGACCGTGCAATCGCGCAGTTACTGACCATAACGGTAAAATATATAGCCCGTGTTGATTCGAAAACGGCTCAGACTTTGATTTAATGCAAAATCGATGCCAATAAATGACTGAAGCGAAGAAGGATGAGAATGACTTCATATTACTTCGGTTAGTCTTAGCGTTTCTCTCGGCTTGTTGATGATACGGCCGCTGGAAGAACATCAGAACGACAAAGAGTAAGTAAGTCATTAATTACCCCACATCGTGCTTCAGAGTCTTCCATTTTTTAGTTTATCTGCAATATACGTTCTGCGATGGGGTAAATATATTTGTATTTTAATGAGTCAACAGGTAGGATTTACGCGTTGTATCCATAGATATAACTACAGCTGTCGAATTTTCATTGTACCTATTCGTCATTTTCTGTTGTTATTTGGCTTTTCCCATCGGAAAAGCTTTCCGGAAAGCTAAGTAAAACACATCTATTCACTGGCAGATGAGTTGGCAATGAACCTGGCACTGTGTACGCCCTATTCCAAGCTCCATTTTTAACGCCAGACCCGCTCTACCTCAGAGGCTTGCCGTCATCCGCGCATATATACATGAGAAGTTGTACCGCCGATTTTGGCAGATTACCCAAAACTCGATGAGTCTAATTCCCGAAAACAGCTGTGTCAAGAGGTATCGTTAACAGTAACACAAATTACTCGTGACGGATACCTATAAAATTATGATTATGACTAGACCAACATCGTTATGGCGCTGTAAGGTTCACTGGTCATACAGTCCGTCATTCTTCGGTCCGTCGCTGATTCGTCGTCTACTCTCTGCTGGCGCCACCATGTATTGTTGCTTCGCTACCGGGTTCTTCTGTTTTCTTTTGCTCCGCTTGCTGTATTCCTCTGCTTGTTTGACCCTCTGGTCTGTCATCTGCTTCGCTAGTTTATTTACTTTTCTGTTCGTCATTCCCTGTGAACGTGTGCAAGGGCACACCGCCAAAGTCGTCGAAGCCGGCTACAGCTCTCATGCTGAAGAAACGTGATAATAACATGCTCACGCGCTCGTAGAATCACGAGCACGCACAACAATAAAGACCTGTACTATTAGCGTCGATCGCGGAGCACTCAAAAAGGAGGATCGTGACAAAGCAAAAACAATCCTTTTCATAGACCAGATAAGATGATTAGTTAGGCCAAAATGTTTGGGTCAATATCGCTCGTCACGTACGACGTATACCTTATACACGAGCCTATTAGTGGACTGGCGCTTTTGGTGGCGGTGGCAGTCATGGCTGTACAGTCTGCCTTTTGTATACTGACACTTAACAGCCGCTAGTGTTGCCGACTGCCGCTGTTAGCGGTTCGAACCATGGATATGCCAGCATATGTAGCAATAACAACAGCACGATCGGGCGCGTTGGAATCAGCGCCATCGTTGCCGACCTTGGCGGAGAGGTCAGTCATCGCTTGCCTTCGGTAACGTGTGTCGCTATGGCACCGCAGTGAGCTGTTACTGCAAATCGGCCGGTGATTGGGGTCTGGTAGGTGGCAATGACAACTGAGAGGCTGGCGACACCACTGCCTTCACCCAAACAGAGGTAAGAATGCCTGTGTACACATGTATCCATATTTTTTGCTGTTGTTGCACTGCTGTCGTGTTTCACAACAGAGTGTAAACTAGTAATCGTGGTACACGTAAAAACGTGCTTCGGCGCAACCGTCTGGAGACGACGCGTAACGTTTTAATTTAGGACTGGCATTACAAAGTTGCCCCGTGACACGACGGACTGGGCATGACGAATTGATTGCGTGTGAACTGATAGGCATGCAGGAAGAAATTACCATACCAAGAATTGGTACATCGCGCGATTCGATCGTTCTCTTGACAATACCCGTTCTGTGTACATTTCATATTTCTGCATTTATACATTTGCGCCTATTGGCTATTCATGTGGGACCGTTATTTTAGGTCACCGAGTCTATTGCCAGATTTTGTATAGCACTATACAGTGACTAAATAATAAGCGGCTAGCTTGAATGACGACCGAGCTAGCACACGCGACGGATTCAAGTGGTACGAAGCAAAAAAGATGGTCGGCAACGATTTTTGCTTGTTAATTAGGTGATGTAGGAACACGTAGAAAATTTGTGTATTTGTTATATATGCACATATATATATATATATATATATATATATATATATATGGAATGCAGAGATCAAGTAAACACACTTGTTAAAACGCGCTCGATTAAAGCATTTTCTGCTAAAGGTTGTTTGCATTAAAGTGAGAAGTATAGTTGAACGTCAATGTAAACGCTAGAAAAAAAAAACTACACAACGATAGTAACGACGAGATTGTTTAATCAATTAATATTCTTCACTAAAGAGTGACTTGGCTTGGTAAACGCGAAGAAAGTAGATTATCTTCGATAAAACGTGGTCGAAACAATCTTATGACATGTTAGACAAATCTATGCTGTAACTACTTCGATAGATGATTGCAAGTAGGAGATACGAGCTCGTCTATAGTAGGTTGTCTTGATCTTGGGCTCGCGGATCTCCCAACTGCATTCAACCGAGAGATATAGCCTGCATAGATATTTGCTGCCGTTCCCACTAACTCGACAGGTGGACAAAAAGGCTGAAAACAATAGTTGATTTGTAGCGATAAGGCGACAACTAATGAGTGACTGAAGGCTCCCTGTACCGTTGGGCTGTTCAGTGACCATATGAATATAGACAGACTTTTTCCATTGACGGAAAAGTCATCAATATAGCTCACAGTGAATCTAACGGACAGAACTGATATATTAGCTCGGCTATTAAAAAGAGGTAATGGCAAAAATTACGTCAGCGATTATAGGCCGTGTGGAGTTTTGGAACAAGTAGCCTGCCGCTACCGTTAAACAGCTGTTATGATTACGTTTAAGTATTTCTTGGGTGTCGGCAACGCAATATTATAATAGACCAGGCTTTTCTCGATCAATGCCTCCGAAAAGGGGGCCGATTAAAAGTTGGAGATAGTGAACGCAACATATGGATATGGCCAAACCTTTCAGGGCATAAAGGGAAATCTATAAGGCGCATTGCCAGCTTCATTATTTATTATCATGACAGTGTCATGCAGGCGACATCCA